TCTTGGCGGTGGCCGCTGCCGAGAGCAACCCGCCGCCGACGCAAGCCGAACTGTCCAAGGACAAGGACATGAAGGACATGCAAGAGGACTACGAGTGGCATGGCGGGCACATGTGCCGCCGCCATTGCCACTGGCACCCTGGGTTTGGCATGCGCTGCTATTGGCGTTGCTGGTAGATGCGTCAACCAAATTTGAACACGCAACATTTTGGTCACACGTCCTTTGTGTCTTGACCAGTGACGGAAGTGGTGTTGAAGCGCTTTATGCTGCTCAAGTTGGACGTCATTAGTGGTCGCTCCAGGAAAGTTGGCGTACGCTCGGCGTCTTCGATCGATTCGCCGGCAGCCTCTTCTCGCTGTGGCATGCGATCAGCTGCAGCACCAACATCATGCTACGTCATGGGCGCGCGCAGCTCGACACAGCAGCTGCGCGCAGTACCGGTAGTGCTGTGCTGGTGATGTTGAAGTTGATCTCGCTTTTCTATCAACACTATTTCAATGCACTGATATAGTCTGAGCCTCCATGGAGCTGGCCGACGCCCTCGCCCGACGGTACGATGACCATGCGCCAGCGTCGGCCCCGGTCGCCGAGCCTGACGTGCTAGCGAGTGTACTTGGCTTGATGCGAGCGCATCCCGAGCTGCTGCCCATCGACCTTGCGTCGCTCCATCGGCGGCTCGCCCTCCCTCTCGCGATGGCCGACCTCGAGCGCTCGCTCGCGCCCGCCGTGCGTACGTCCTGCCTCTATCGCTGGAAGGCGCTGATCCTGTCTCTAGAGAGCGGCGCCGTCATCTTGCAAGTGTTTGGGCACTGGACGTTCCTCACGCACGTCGAGCCGGCGTCACCAGCCGTCGCAGTGGCACCGCGCTGGCGAGGCTATTGTCCGGCCACAACGCGCGCTGCGTGTCGGCGCGCATCCGCCGGCGCCGCCTGCCACCTCGTGCACTTTGTGCCTATTATAACCCGGAGGACGAATGCGGCGCTCGGCGACTGCAAGTACCTCGACACGTGTCGCCGTGTTGAGAGCTGCGCGTTTGTCCACTACCGGGTCGAGGACGATGGCGCACCGGTGCTCGCTGCGGCACCACCGACAACAGCAGTTGCCATTGCCTGTGACGTGACGACGTATGACGTGGCGCGCCTCGGGACGTTTGATGCGATCGTGATGGACCCGCCGTGGGAGATCAACCAACAGCTGAGCTACACCACCTTGTCGGACGATGCGATTGGTGGGCTGGCCATTCCAGCGCTGCAAACCACGGGGTACCGACGACGATGATGACAACCAAAGTGTCAGATAGAAATCTGTGCCAGGTGGATCTTTCTCTGGGTCACGACCGGAAAGCTCGTGGTCGGCCGGCGGCTGCTGCGGCAATGGGGCTACGCTGTCGTCGAGGACATTGTGTGGGTACGACGATGACGCGCCGTGTCATCTTGATGACGTTGCGTGTCGTTAGATCAAGATCGATCAGCTGCAGCATGTAGCCCACCAAGGTCGGACAGGCCATTGGCTCAACCACAGCCAGGAGCACTGCCTCGTGGGCCGGAAAGGGCTTGCACCGTCGGCCGCGCGTCTCGACTGCGACGTGATCGTGGCCGCCCCGCGTGAAAACAGCCGCAAGCCCGACGAGCTCTACCGCCTCGTCGAACGGTAGCCGCTTCCATGCCTCTTTCAAGCGCTGAGAAACCTCTGGTGTAGGGTGGTGCCAACTGGTAGGAAGCTCGAGATCTTTGGCCGCCGCCACAACCTTCGCGACGGCTGGACAACCATGGGCAACCAGTTATAGCACCATGTCTAGTTCTCGTTATACATGTCTCATGGCGTCGTCGGACCCTCCTCGGGCCAGTTGGCACCGACCGACGTTGGCAGGAAGGCCATCGAGTCGGGCAACGCCAACAGCGAGAGTGCCCGGGCGCGCGGGTCGTAGCGCACTTCGTACGTCTTGTCGTCCGGCACCTTGTCATGAAGCCACGCAAACACGAGCTTGGCAAAGCTCAGGCACACGTTGGGTTGCTACGCGCGGTTCGTCTTCTCGATATATGCTGGGATGAGATCTGTACCCAGTACTTGGCGCCAAACGCCGGCAGCTGGGACGTGGCAAACGTCTGCTCCTTGACGAGCTTGCAGTCGGTGCTCCGGAACCCGCAGCGGATGCGCCCGACGCCGACAAGGTACGACTGGATCCAGAACGCGAGACACTTGAAGCGCTCAAACGAGAACCGGTCCTTGCTCGTCTGCAGCAGCTTGTACGTCTTGAGCTCCACATAGTCGCCACGGACGTCGACGCCGTCCAACTCGGCGCCAACGAGCAGCTGCGTCGACCCGAGCAGCATCGTAAAGAGGCCGCAGTACTCGCCGGGTGACCCGTGGCTCGCGATCGCCTCGTATTGGCGGCCGGCGTACGCGCCCTTGGCTTGCGCGGGATGCATGTCGCCGTTCGTATCGCGCTCGTGCTGGATGTTGAAGAAGAGCGTGCGCCCGCGCCGCTGCACGTGGAACGCGTACGGGCTGTTGCTGTTGTACGGCGTCTACGTCATCAGGATGCTGACACTGTCGCCGCTGGAGGATTTGTATGACGCACGCCCAAGATCTTGTTGAGGTTGTTGCGAAACGTAACAATGTCGATCGCGGCCGGGAGGCGGGGCAGCGGCAGGTGCGCGTCGGCGTGGTGCGCGTGGCGGTTCGCCGGCAGCATGGCGTCGAGGATCGGCTGGAGCGACGGCGACGCATCCTCGTTCGTCTCGACATGGTGCTCAAAGCCATGGAGGAGGTTGGCGCCAATCTACGCAGAAGCAATCGCAAGCAGCGTCGTCAGGAGGGCTTCTCGTACTTTGGCCGGCCGCAGCTCTTTCTAGGACAAGGATCATGAGACGCCGCATGTGATGGCACTATGAAGTCGGCACCAGGGACGCGCGGTCAAAGGTGAGGTGGCCGTCTGGATGCAAGCTGTACCCGCTCACTTGTTCGGGCTGCGCACAGCGTTAGCAGGTCCATGCGACCGAGTTCGTCCTACCTTGGAGAGGCGGATCTTGTCGTGGGCGAGGAGCGCACTTGTCGATGGCACGTGCAAGACATGCAGGGCGCGCGGTCGCTGCATCTGTGGGCGGCGCCATGAGCCAGCGAAGTCGCCAGGATAGCGTACAATGGAGGCCAGTCGCCAAGCACGGAAATGGACAACAGGTGCGTAACGCGAAAAACGCACCTATGTTTCCGAAAGCGGTGCTTTTCTTGATTTCAAACTTCAACTTCGTGCAGCCCCAACACCTCGTCCGTCCTTTCAAGTACACTCGCTAGCACGTCAGGCTCGGCGACCGGGGCCAACGCTGGCGCATGGTCGGTCGCCGTACCGTTGGGCGAGGGCGTCGGCCAGCTCCATGGAGGCTCAGACTATATCGGTGCATTGAAATAGTGTGGATAGAAAAGCAAGATCAACTTCAACCTCAGCTACGACGGAGTGTGTTTGAGACTATATCGGTGCATTGAAATAGTGTTTCTGGTAAAACAAGATCAACTTCAACATCAGCAACGCAGCACTACTGGGCGCACACTCTGCAACGCTAGCGAAGAGAGCTCCAACGCGAGACTGTCAACGCCCGAGTTTCGCCGTGTACATTGACGACTCCCGGTCTGTCTCGTGTGCCAGACTAGCCGTAATTGTTGTAGCGTGCGCCAGACTTATGCACAGAGCAGGAACGGTGTTAGCCGGAACACTGGTGACAATTGCGGCTGGGCCGAGGCTGCTTATGGACACTAGGCTGCTCGTAGACCGCGTCCCAACGCAAGCTAGCAATCAAGTTGTTTCTGATCACGGGTGAGTCTTCCTTGTGACCGGTATAGCTGCTGCGCTCTTCCGTCTCGTAACAGCACTCTGTCAAGACACAAAGGACGTGCGACCAAAATGTTGCGTGTTCA